AGATAGAATGCTGCGACTACTGAGAGAGAATGTGACGAAAGTATATTGTAAAGTACGAATTTAGTGAGCAAAGCCACCCAGTTCCATGTCTGGCGAGTGATAACTCGAAAGTCCGCTGGGATGTTCCATGGCATCTGGAAAAATGCCCAAGAAACGGGGGCCAATACCAGAAATAACAATGTTTAAATCAGACATATATGCGTGCGTTAGTAGAAGTGACTTCAACGTTGCGGGAAAGGTCACAGAAATGGCAAAATTATCAAAATTGTGCTGGTTCCGGCTTCGTAGTGACAGTGGTTGGTTATCACTAATTAATTCCAGATAAGACACGGTTTTGAATCCTACACTTTTGACTCTCGTACATATGTAGTTCTGTACAATGCATATGTTTTCTGGCCACGGCCGGTTGCCTCCCGGTTGTATTTCATGATGATGCTTTTCTAATATTTAAGTCTTCCATAATAACTAATAAAATCACATTTAGGTTTAATCGAACATTGCGGAGTTTTGCGGAAACATCAAGGGCGGATTATTTCAACGGAGTTTAACCAGTTTTTAACAAAACCCGCGCGTTCTAAGATTATTTCAACGGGGGTACTGCCATATATGTTTAACCAGTTTTTAATCAAAACCGGTTGGGTCTAGAATAGGGTATCATTTTACGCTGATCAGTTGGTTGAAGATTATATCTAGACTAGTCAAACATATAAAAAATCAAATCGGCAAGTGTTCAACTCAACTTTTTTGGCTAAACAAAAACAGCGCTTTTACCCATACATTAGCTCTGGTTTTATCCAGGGTCCCAGAACCCCACCCAAAATTCCTAAAGTACCCCCGGCTCAACGCTTTTATCTATAGATTCTTTATCGTGAACAGTTCCAATAAAGCACATATTGTAGACTACAATTGACGCTGATTGAAAAGCAATTATTTTCATAAATTAACCCAGTAGGGGAGAGATCTGGAGGTCCAATGATTTCTTAAACCGCGGTCTTAGATAGACTTCGTTTATGATAACTGATCCGAAAAGTTTGCGAGCCGTTTTCTTCCGTCTACACGTAACCGTGTCTGTTTGAAACAGATATTTTTTTCTTCCGAAAAATTATCGCCAAATAACAACCTAGTCTAACGCAGAGCTTCTAAGGTTTTTCTTCTTGACCTCTGTTTTCTTCTTCGATTTTCGAGACCGAAAGCAAGAGTAGCCCTGCTGTTTGTCAACTTATTTATCTAAAGTGGCAGTGAAATTTTCCAAATTCTCTTTTTTTCTGACAACCTCGTTCCCACGGTCCTCTCATACTCGTTCCCCCGTAGCGAGAAGGAAAAGACCCTGGGAACGAGGTTGCCGTTTTGTCAATCCGTTCAAACAGTGTTTGCAAAAAAAATCAGATCTGGAGAGTGTTTTCGAAAAGTTTTGTCTTCGGTGACCATTTCACCGGATACACGTGGAAGGAAGGCTGATCCGGAGGAAAAAATATTCTTTTTTTAAAAAAATAAAAACGGGGTTATGTGAACAGGGCATGAATTTCTTTACGATTGCCTTTGAAACCAGTTTTATATATTTTTCCATTGACATGGTTCCAATGCCTGCAGTTACGCGGTTTTCGCAACTTCTTTAGCTCACTCACCAGGAAACCACCAAAGAGGAATAAGAGACAGTCATAAAGGGAGCGCTATCGAGTTCCAAACTTTAAGCCTGAATTGAGTTTTGAAAACATGATATCCGTGTATGCGATGTTATCAAGTAATTGAGCTTCTCTCTCTTTTTCGTTTTCATCCTGTTTCCAACAAACCAAAGAAAAGAACTAAAAAGCACGCAAAAATGATTTTCAAATTTTGTGACGAGAGTTGTAGCTTACATGTAAATAAAAACCAATTTAGCGATTATCACAGCGGGTGATCAGTGTACATTTCCTATTTATCTTGTACCATATTCTTGATGGTTTAGAGGTCCTCATGCGCGGCACGCGACGTTGCATGAGGACAGATTTCCGTGACATTACAGAGTGGGCGTTTCAAGAACATTTGTCATGCATAACACACACTACAATACACCTGGAAGATGAAATGGATTAATTTAAAGCAAGGACAGTAGAGTATGCTAAACATCTACAGTAGATCGGCTAAACCAACAGTCAACTGGAAAAAAAATAAAAAAAAATGGAGTAGATGAAAAAAAAAGAGAGAAAGAGAGAGGAATTAAATCTTACACAATTAAAGCAAGCCTGCAAAACAATGGCCTTATTCTTGGTTTGCTGCTGGATAAGAAGGCAGCCATTTTGGACGTCAAAACATTACGTTTCTTTTTGGTCGGGGGAATTTGCATGAGAAAAGAGCTAAGGGACCAGTCAATAATTAGAGGGTGAGGGGCTGGTGCAGATAGGGGATGGATCAGTAAATTTTGTGCAAGGATACAAGGGGGGGCTGCAAAAATTTACCTTGGTGTACTGACAATTTTTCTCAAGACATTGATTAAAGTATCATCAGATAAACAACCAAAATTATTCGTATTGAAAACAAAATGTTTATTCCACCTGTAAAAGTTTTCAAATAATATCCTCATCAAATTTTCTGGGGTACTCATAGACGTTTTTCTCCTTTCGGAAAAAAAGTTTAGAGGAGGTTGCATTTGGCGGGGGGGGAGGGTTTTTAGAAAAAAATGTGTTTTACAGGTTTAGGGGGCCGTATTCTCACGGATGCACCAGCCCAGGGTTATGGGCTCCTGCCAGCCCCTCATACCCTCTAATTGTTAACCGGTCCCTAAGTCGGGGAAGAAAACTTTTTGGTCGCGATATCGGCCAATGTCCGGTTTGTGTAATTTATGATAGAAAACTCCTACTAAGATCTACTAAATTAGCCTGGTCCTCAGGGTCTTCTCGTTTTCCAATATGACGGTCATATTGGAAAACGAGAAAACCCTGGGCCGGGGATGACGTTGGAATTTAGCTACAATGATTGTTTACCACTTAGGCCTAGACTAAACTTTGAACTTTTCATGAGACAAACCGAACTCAGACTATAAAGCAATTTTAGCCGGCCGGCGGGTGTAGAAATTTTCTCCCGAACGAGACTAAATATACATTATCATAACAAATTTTTAATTTATTAGTTCAGTTGTCGCAGTGAAGATCGATGTTTGTCCCGGAGACGATCTTCAGACGTTCCATCCGTTTGTTCAAGAACGAATCGAAAAGTCGTGTTCCAAATACTTTCCAACCGCGCCTTCCAGAAACGTTTGTACATGAAACAAAAAACCTGAATGTTACCTGTTAGTAGAATAACGAATAGTGGTGGTGGTGGTGGCGCAGACGTTTGCAGTCATTGCACGTATGAGTGACACGAGTGAACTGACGTTTAACAAAACAAGACAACATTTCTGTGAGAAGTATGCATTTATTGAAAAACTAGAAAACCTGCTATTCGTGTACAAAGTGATTAACAATGATACCGAAAGCGCTACAGCTTTCTGTTACGTTTCTCTAAACTCTATTATAAAAAGTAATATTGAACAAATCGTTTTCCCTCTTGGTTCATCTTTCTTTTACTCTTGCTTATGGGTTATTTTTCGACTTATGCAATATTCACACTAGGTGCCCAGGTACAAGTGTCTGGGTACCGGCGCAAAATGCTCAGAGTGCTTACATCTTAGTGGCACCTGATATGTAACTGTGTACATAATTGCTACATTTCGCCCTGTCAGACGGCATTTGGAAACGTAAGCGCCGCAGAGAGATGGATATGCAGAGCAGTAGAAACAGAAAACGTGTTCATACAGGGACGCGATGCCCACTTTAGCGCCCGAGTACAAGGTTTTGACCTTTTCTGGTGTGGGTATTTGAAAAAAGGTGTGTTCACATTAGTGCCTAGCGACACCATGCTCGGGCGCCGAGTGTGAGCAAAGCCTTACTGGACAAAAAGATTCTTGTTAGGCCTTATGTTTTTTAAAAATATACCTTAATTTATTTCATATTAAATTACTCTTTCAATTCTAATGTATCCTATTAATTAAATACTGCATTCTTTTCTAACTATAAAACTCAGGTGTTCTAAGTGAAATATAAATCTGCTACTTAAAATATAATGTTAAAATAGACGATGATCATCTGGTACAAAAATATAGCTCTTGGGTATAAAAGTGTGGTTGAACGTCGTTAGGGAGGTTGCATTAGATCTTTCCCACATGGACACATAATGAACAAAGTCCAGTCTTGGATGGATCATTTCATACTTCACGTATTTTGTTACCTTAAGCCTAGCATGCGATCGGTTTTTTTTTTTCGGGGAAATGAAGAAAAAAAAAAAAAAGAACTTGTCTCCCAAGACAGTGGTGAGTGGTGCTGTGTCCGTCCAAACATGAGCCTGAGAAGTTGAACTACCCAAGAGAACTTTCGATCGTGCCGACTAGACGGCTGGGCCATAGGCGAGGGCTGCACTCTCAGTAGGAGAGTCCTGGTTATTAAACTTAGCAAACTTATACACCTTTTAAATAGTTAACGAGTTTGAGTTAATGACGCAATCGATACTAAGGCAACCCTATTGTTTAACCGCAGTGAAACAGAAGGAACAGGTGACAATTAAGATGAGGTTATCAATCTTACCATTCTGGTCGCATCGGGGGTTACTCGAGGGATGGTCAACTTTAACCCAGGGTAAAGAGAAATCTTAAACGAGATTTTCTATCTAGGAACATGTTCTAATTGAACATTATTAAATATTGCTGAGTTACCCAGAAAACAAAGACCTAAACAAAACAAAACAACAGCAACAATTATTAAAAAAAAATTGACAAAAAATTTCACTCATTCGAAGGTAAAATCTGCGAGATATTGTTCGTTGAATCCAAGAAAGTGTTACTTAACATTATGCCAATAAAGAAAAGGAAAATATAATCGGAAATCACTCAACACACTAATTTGTCTAAGCGATTTACAAAACTTGTACTGCGAGCAGAGGTTTCTCTTCTGCATGGCTTTTAGCGTTTACGAAGTCGTTCTTGGCGACAAACCAACTACGCGACTAACAAGCGACGCCATCGACTTCGTAAACGCTAAATACCATACAAGAGAGAAATCTCTGCTCCCAGGGTAACAAAACTAGTTTTGTCTTAGATTTTTCTTATCCCTGTTGATATAATGTTAAGGTGAACGATCTATGAGCTATTAATGACAAAAACACTATGGGGTCCTAAATCACTGAAAATTCCGAATACGGCCTGCCTTCTCCTCAGGCACTTTGTTTCGCACTTCGGTCGCCAACAAAAGTGAGTGCGAAACGCAAGTGACTGGTGACGAAGTGCAAGGGACCATGGGAAACTGGAAAAAGAGAGGCCTGCTATCTCTTTCCGCCGTCCTTTCTGCATAAATCGCTATAAAGCGAATGAGGCTGAGAAAAAAAAAACAGCACGACAACAAGAAGATTGAGGGAATAAAACAGAAATAAATTTAAAAATATACTAAAATGTACTTTTACAAAAGTCTTAACCATGAGTTAAAGTAGTTGGGCCTAGAGATCTGGGACTTGAAATACAGCAAAAGAAGAGATGAATTCAGGGGACGGACAACACCATAAGTTTATAAACGGAAAGGAAAGAAAAAAGCCTGTTTAACAGAGCCTACGTATAAGGTGACCTTTCTAAGCTCCAACAGCTTCATTACGTAACCAGTGCGTGATAGTGTTTTCGTATTTCTTCAGCCAGTCGATGTTAGCCCGTGTGCGCTCAATAGCTTGTTTACGAGCATTCTCGCTTGTTCCGGCTTCAGAACGGTCAAAAAATGCCTTCATCTGCAAGAAAATTTAACAATCATAATAAGTTATTTCGGTCACTCAATAATGCAGTAACTGCCCACGTCTCAAAATTTCAGCAAAGATAGTAAAGTGGCAAAATATACTACATTTGCATTAATGACAGTATATCTACTGTTGTTTAAACCACCCAGGATTATTTAAATAACTTAAAGTGGTGTATCAGGGTTCGTTAAGATTTTTGAATCCAAAATTCAAGACTCCAAAACAATAATTTATTTTTCCAGACCCAAGGTTATCAAACAGGTGATCAACAGACACCTTAAAAAAGCAGGAACAAAGTTTTTCGCGAAGCACTGCGAACGTACGGGCGAGATTGAATAAGATTTGACCAAAGCGAAACAAAATTTCACTTATAAACCACTAGTTGTAGCTATCAAGATAAACTCAAGACTTTTTACCATTTTTCCAGACTTTATGCCTATTTTCCAGACTTTTTCCAGGTCTCGAAAATTACTACTTATAATACTAATAAGTAGGCTACAGAAGAACCTTGACAAGGTTATTCCAAACTCTTTGATCGTGTATCAGCGCTTCTAACTCCTGACTAGAGTCTACATCAGAGTCTCGCTTTAAGATATCAACTAGTGTTGATTTCGGTGGTCCTCTACCACTGTGGCCGTGGGTTGGCTCCCAAAGGACGAGTTTGTGTGCTGGGAGGTAGGGATGTCTTTGACAGTGCCCAGCAAGTCTCAGTCCTTCTTGCGGCTACTTTGTCTCCAACTCTCGGTAATCTCCATAAAGATATTCATTGGAGGTGTGGCTTTGCCAGAAAACATTCAAGGCCACCCGCAGCATGCGAGTGTAGCAACCATTTTTAAATGACTTGGTTACAAGGGTAGGGGTTAGGGTCCATGAAGAAAGAACAGATCTACCATGAAGAAGAACAGATTCTACAGTGGCTTTGAAGAATGACAGTTTTACATCCCTGGACATATTAGACCTCCAGATCTTCTTCATTCTGGAAAATTGCCGGGCAAATTTCAAGACCTTTTCAAGAAATCAACACTCTGTACCAGCCCTGTGTATGGTAATTGGCAGTAGCTAACTATTCGATGTTTCAAATAACTTTTCAAGTACACTGTACTTCTTTATGTCTAAGAGAACTCTCTACCGCAATTCTCGCACAGGGAGGTCATAGTAGCAGCCTCGTTTTGTTTGCCACAAAACTTATCTTATGTAGTCAAAAAGTCTAGAAATAAAAATTAAAAATAACAACAACAGCAACAACCAACATTTACCCATTCTCGCTGACGTCAAGAGAAGATTTTCCCTCTTAGTGACATACAAAGTAATTTCTTGGTCAATTTGCCGTAATTTTTCAGACAATAACATTTTTTGTCATACTAAAAGATCAACTTCCAAGGCATTCCAAAACCACCTGATTTTTTATGTACATGACCGTCTACACACTCCCCGAAACGCAAACACCGTGGAGCTTTTAGCACAACTACATTTGAGTGACAAGATTAAGTAACCAACCTGTTGGAGATCAGCCTCGGTACTAAACTGAGTCACAGCATTAGTCAGGCTTGCCATACGGAAAGTACTGGTGCTGAACCTGTAATGACCACAAAGACAGGCGTCAAATCAGCAAGGCTTGTCACTGGAAATAATGAGCTTTCATAGCTTATACCACAGTCTTCAGTAAAAGATCTCTACCTTGCCATCACTTAAAACAGATACAGTGTTCTCGTTAGGCTTATAAAAGCGGTTTTGTAGGATGGTCCCCTGCATGAAGCCTTGTGAAAGAAAAGCTTTCTTCGAATGACTATTGGAATGTGATGATCGGTTGACAACAGAAACATCAATTTACGGTACTGAAGTGTTTCGGGCCCCTTGATATCGGTGGGCTCTATTCGCTAAACCAATCAAATGCTACGCGCGGAACATTTGTTAAACCAGTCTAAAACCACGCTCGTTGATCTCTGTTTGCTGCATCAATCAAAAGACGAGTGAATCAAGAGTGACTTTGAACTAGTCATATGCTACATCAGCTACACGCCGCGCGTTAGTCTCCGGTCGTTTGCTATATCAACCAAAAGCCGTGCGGGTGATTTCTCTTTGCATGTCTTTGATAAGGGACCAAACCCCGCGCGTGTTGATCGCAGGGTGACATGAGAGTGTCGTTTCTCCACGGTAGGCAATTTTCACGTGTACTAACTCACTACTTTGATTTCCCCCCAAAACAATAATATACTTCATGTGTCACTTACATGTCAAACAAAGTTTTCCAGTTATTTTGGACGAAGGTCCAGGCTAAGTACTTGCCAACAGGATTGGAAGCTACGTATCTAATCACACTGACGGCATCCTGTGATCGAACCTTGGACGAGTCAAGGGAGTATTCCAAATACCTGAATAACATAATAAGTCACCAACATTTTAAAGCAATCCACAATCCGTAATTTGTTAATAAAGCAAACATCTATTAAAAGGACTTTTATTCAGTGGTGACTTAAAGTCCCGGAAATTAATTTCCATAATTATAATAAAAATGACCTTTATTCCGTGGTCACCTTTTCCTAGGTCCCAACGAGTTATTACAGACCTTAAGATTGAGGTTTTTCGGCATTTCCCGCGAACTGCGAACGTCTAGAAGTCACGTGACCAGGGTCTTGCCGCCAGGTTTGCGGTTTGAGGTTCACGTTTGTACCGCTAAACCACGCTCCAGAGGTAAGTGATTTACCGCAAGGCTTTTGCACCTCAAGGCATCACAATCCCACGTTTGAGAAGAAATACGACTTTTTAGAACTCTTTTGCTTATTGATTATCCAATTCTATTTCAAAAAACGAAATTTTGAAGACAAATTTTCAGCTAAAATAGAAGCAAGTGGATGAATGACAGCAAACATGGCAGCCGCAAGCTACCAACCGCGAATCTTAAGTGTCAAATATGGGCAGACGGGTAACGTGAAATCGTTAACCGCAAACCGCAGTTTGTCGTTTGCAGTAAAAAGACCAACCTCGATCCGAGGTCTCTATTTGTTATTGTCTTTGACCTCTATTAAACGGTCACTTTGTAAAGATGTGCCTTAGGGGTCTTTACTTCCCTTCTATTGGCAAACGAAGAAGCAGAAACACTTTGACGTCAATTTATCGTGTTTCGGATATTTCACTTTGCCACCATCTTCGGTTTGTCAAAGCTGTATCTAACGGTCACCCGATGGCCATTCCCGGGTAACCGCGTAATACTGTAAACACGTCTTTTCTTAATAAGTATCAAATATTACGGACTCGACTTTGGATAGACCAACGTACAGATGATGAAACTCGTAAATGAGAAAAGAACAAACCAGAATTAATGAACGAGCCTTTGTTTTTTTGGGAAAGCATGGAAATCCTAAACTTCAAAACTAATCCATCAATGGTAACAGGGTACCCAGGATCGATCCTGACAATTCCCCTGCAAATGTGGTATCTTAGTTCTTACATGTTTAAGATCCATGTCTCTCGTGAGGCCGCCAATGCATACATCAGTTTACTTTTCTCTGACGGTGCCGTTGTCATGAGGTATTTCTTGAACAACCACTGCCATTCTTGTAAGCCACTATTGGCAATTCCATAATAATAAACCAACGTTCGCAGGTTCACGTCTATTTCTGACCTGTTAAGAAACATGAAAAACCCAGAGAGTAGTTCCTCGAGTAAACGTTTGTGTTATTGATAAATTCATTAATACTTACAACAAAAATTCGTACGTTTAAGTTTTACGTCCGTTTTAAGCCTTGACCTTCACATGTGCCGAATCTAATGCTTATGACCAAAATTTGTTGTTCTCGCTCAGTTGCATTAGACATCACTAGATTTGGCACATGTTAGGTACTACGTCTAAAACGGAACCCAAAAAGGGGAAAAATTCTCTCTAGGAAGGACACCTTGCTGAACGGCGCTATGTATCAGTCTTAGAAAGTTGTCAGCCTTAACAAGAGTTAAGGGAAATGACTGAAGGAACCAACTCTAGGTGTTGGTTTGAGGGAGGAGTCCGTTAGGACAGAGCTGACTGTCGTTCTTTTCCATGTTACAGGGGCGGAACCAGGACTTTATAGTGGGTGTACGGGAGGGGAAAAAGGTCGTGTGTTATTCTTCTTTGGTATAAAGATCGCAATAATACATCGATGTTCGTTACCGCTGAAACACGACCATCGATTATTGCTGACTGACTAAGGACAAAAATGGAGACACTAGATGAAAACTCTGG